AATGCTATCAAAATGTACAGTATGTTGTGCAGTACCCAAAACTGTCTTTCTGTTTTACTTGGCTCTGATTGGTTGTTTTCATTCAGGCCTGGTGGATTCTTGCAAATGCCTTTAGGAAACTAGGAGGAGCCAGATGAACCAGATTTTTTTTCCCCAGATTATCTGTCTCATGTATTACTGTCAGGATATAGTGAAAGTTTTAGCAATAATGACAAAAAGTTATTTTCATAAAAATGACTGACTGCAGCTTTAATGTACTCATTTGATGCAATGATATATCCATTTAAACCTTAAAGCTAATGAAGGGGTGGTTTAAGGGGGGTTTCAGGTTTGAGAGGTTTACTGTATGCTCCACTAATGGGTCTTGATTTACTGCCGCCTGCTACCACCACAGTGCTAACATTAAAACCTCCCATATGAACATATGCCATTAATCATTTGGAAATTATAAGAATTAAGTTAATATATCTAGTTACTACCACTTTCTATGCTCTGTTAATTTCTCTAATCCTGTGTGAAATGATTCATGCTTGTTAAAGATGCACTGATGTACTTAATTAAAAGATTGATTTTTGCCTGGGACTTCTAAACTGCCTGCAGTTTTAATTTCCTCACCTGAGCAGAGCCTGAGATTAGCCGTGCTGTGTGGCGTTTTTTAACTGAACCAGCTACCAAAGTGCACCCTGCTTTCTCCATGGCTGTAAAGATTGCTTTAACAGACACCGCTTTAATGCAGAAATAACGAAATAATGTCAGGCCTTTTGTTTGGTGGTGCAGTCGCAGGAGAAATAGTGAAGGTCTGTAGGAGCCAATTGGCAGCATTCTTGCAGTTAGCATTCTTAATGATAAGTGCTCCATCTGGCAAGTGGTAGCGAGCCAAAGGCGACAGATGGAATTGTTTTCACAATCTGTTTAAATATGTTGTCGATTTTTCTCCCCTTTTTAAACCCTCCCCAGCAGCTCTGACGCTCGTTTGCTAGCAACAAGAAGGAGATGTTTGATTTTTATTTCCTTTCATGCTCTGTTCAGTCTCCTACAATGAAGTCACGGCCTGCAACCAAAAAATAAAAAGAAAGACCAAAATTGTTGCGCGCACACACACGTTTATGATAATCCATTAACCATACTTAAAGATCATGTCTAGTTCCATTGGTAAAAAAGTAAAAGTACTTACTGTAGTAATTAAAGCCAACAAACATTATCAATATTCTGATCAACTCACAACTTCTGTCATCTGGATTCTGGCAGTCTTGTTTCCGTCAACATATTTTGATGTGCATTTTGAAGTATCACATTAGAAAAGTTTGAAACAGCAAAGTTTTAAAAGCTTTCTCAATTTTGCAAAGAACCTCATGCACTTTTAAAAAAAAACTTACTTAAGTTCTTGTGTAACAAGAAACAGTCTCCTCATCGCTCCCATTGCTCTACATCCATGATTTCTCTGCACAGATCTGATGGAACCTTCCTCATATTAATAAATGAAACTAACAAATATATTACGTTTTCTGCATTGTTTTCCAATGTTTGAGGATCATCTGGTGCTTTTTTTAAAGTTTTAAAGTCACTTTGTTCCCCCCATTCTTCTGGTTTTCCGCATGAAGAATTGGCACCACCTGATAACTTGATGAACCAGCTCTTATTAATCGCATAGCGGTAGTGGACGGAAACAAGCCTTCATTTGCATTTACTTTTGCCGATTTTCTTGAAATAATACTGAAATATGTGACACATTTTGATTTAGACAGAGATTTCAGCAAAAAGTTTCACTCAAGATTTGTAGTGAGTTGTGTTTTTGACCACTGCTTAAAAGTGAAATGTTTGTGTTTTGCAGAGAACCAGAGGGCAGAAGAGGAAGAGAGTTCCTATCTGTGAAGACAGAGAAGATAAAATTGAGGTTTGTCACTTCATTCTGCTGCAGGAAACTACTGCTTACATGCTCCTGACATATTCAAGTTGTTCATATTCAGCATTGTTCTTTACCTTCACTGATATTTGCTTTAATTGCACCTTTAATTACTTTAATATAACTTCTTTTTGTCTTCTATTAAAAATAATAGGTAATTGCCAACAGAAATTTCCTGAATTCAAAGTTATGTCTTCTAATCTTTCCAAACAGCAGCTAAAATACCTAAATTGTTACAGTTTGAGAACGTTCAATCTCAATTTATTGTGTATAGGCGGCCAATCTCCATAACAGAGTGTATCAGGACACTTTTCAAATAGAGGTCGAGTTAGACCGAACTCCAGAAAAAGAAACAACTTTTAGCATTTGTTATGAAGATATACAAAACAATTGTTTGGTATTTTTACTTGATATATAATTAAGACGCTTGGTTAATTTATGTCAGTAGATTTATTGATTCACTGCTGATTGACTACCAGTAAGAAGCAGAAAGAAATACTTCAAAATATTGTAATATTAACTTGCTTTTCTTTCCAAGAGTGAAAGTGAAGGTGTGGCATTAAAAACAGCAGCGGGAGCCCGAGGGTTGCCCATTAAATACAGAGCTGGAGCCAGTAGGTGTTTAGCCTAGTTTAGACTGAACTTGCAGGCCTTTTCCACCAACACTGCTTCAGTTCGCACACCTAGTTTTGTACCGTTTGATATAAATTTGTTTGATTCAGAACCTGAAAAGTTTGTTCCCACATGGAACCAGACGTTTTTATTGGTAACCAAAGTGGACGTGTCATATTCTATAGATCATTGTGCATTGTGCAGCGTACTCCATTAGTGAATTCAGTGGTTCTGCCCAAAACTGGTGGAAACAGGGGCTGGTTAACTAGAAGGTATCATGGTTTCAAGAATCTTGAACGGAACAGGTTAACGAACCAGAGCTAATTTGGTGGATAAACTATAAGTCAGTGGTAGTTATGTGCTGTAACAATGTTTTAGTAACATAAATGCCTTGAAGTTGTAACAACTGTGGTGGTCTGTGGCACATCAGCTTTCAGTGTTGATTGGCTATTACTTGTGACTTGTAACCAGTCAGACAGTGCTGTGGGTGCTGTGGGTGGGACATTAAGTGTTACCTTTTTTTCTGAAACAAAAAATCGTTCTGAACCGTGAGTTTTGTGATCTGCCTCACCCCAACCTTAAAGGGTAAATACTATCATTTATAAGACTCGCACGGGGCACCATATATATGATTAGGGTCATATATGCAGTGAATATGAGGCCTCGCACCGGGCATTGTAAACGCATATGTTGGTACAAAAGATGTAGTAGAGTAATTGCACTTAACTCCGACTATCAGAAGAATCTGTATTTATACTGAGTAACAGAAGTAAACTTGCATGAAATTCACCTCGGGGCACCACCCTTGAAAAAGAGAAGAAGATACTAAAGATAGTACTACTAAGTTCTTGACTCTGTGACCGCAATACTTTATACACACTAAACACATAATCAGCTGCTTCTTCCATAGATCTGACACAGCAAAACTAGGATGAATTTGCTGAAGGCAACACATATAATGCACAAATTCTCATTGGCTTTTTAATTTTTCTAATCATCTAAAATCCCAAAGTCACTTTCATGAATTGTATTCAGGAAATATTACTCTAGTGCACTGTCCGTCTCTCCCCAGTTTAACATTTAATTCCTTTTTACATCCCGACCACCAACAAGTGCCCATATAGTTCTTGATTCTAATCAGCAGTGTTTCCATAGGAACCACTGCCACGGGAACGCCGACAACGCCAGTCTGCAATGCAGAAAAAACCCAAAGCTGACGACACAAGGACTGAGTGTACAACCTGCAAAGGACCAGGCGACAACGAAAACCTAGTGAGGTGAGGGAACGTGTGTGTGTGGCTCAGAGAGGGAACAGGGAGGTGGGGTTATTAGACAGTCTCTGTTTGTGTGTGTCTGTGTATGTGTGTGGGTCTCGTGAGGCAGCCATATCCTCCTGATGATTAAAGTTCAGTCTTCATTAAGCTCTGGCCGCCTGGGCTCTGCAGAATGAGGGGGCTGAGGGTATCTTCTCCATAGGCCCCCTATATTGACCTGCCACATACATTTGCACAGTTCATTAAGGCGTAATGAATAGCACAATTTATTCAGCTTCTTTCTTGGGATTTCAGGTGTCAGGCATCTAATAACCAGGATTCTCCTTTGACATTGGAATACTGTGAGAAAATAAAAATCTAGATCACAGCAGGCACCTTGTCAGCATATTGTCATGTGATGAATATCTTGCATTAAAATTGTCCCATCGTACCAGAATTCCCTTCATGAACTTCATATTGTCCCTCCAGAACTGTCATTGGCTCATTGCTTCTGAGAGTTCTTGAGTTTTTGAATTGTTATGTTGAAACATAACGCTAAACATTTCTTTTTACATTCTACCAATTGCTTAACTCGTTAATGTCTACAGTAGGATTTTATCATTTCCTTTGCAACACTTAAAGAACTAGCTGAACTGAGCACAAAGCTTTTCAAATTGGTCAAAGTATGCCCCTTGGCAGGCTTCCTCAGTGCTTGTTAACACCGTTTCGACAGCTTCAGTAACTTAGCTTGGACAACAGCGATGCAGGGCTCTCAATTTGATGGATTTACTGTTTATTAGGCAACACAAATGAGACAAGAATTTGGAAAAATTATGCCACCAGAGCGTTTCTGGTGACCGGGTCTCACTGATTACTTTACAAAAGCACACAACTTTTCACTGATTTTGATGAAACTGCTGACACTTAGACAGACTATGCCGGTCCTTGTACTCCCTTGTACTGTGCGGGCTCAGCCCTGCTCTGCCTGGAGCAGATATATAAAGAAATCCATGACAAGCCGACATCGGCTAGTTAGAAAGTAGAAAAAGTGGTTGGAAACGCTGCATTCAGAACTGTCTGAATTCTGAGCTTTTTGCTCACAGGGAATACTGTTGCATATGTTCACCTCATTATTTGACACTTTGGCCTTGTTTAATATCAACATCCGACATTGTAATATGACACAAAATAAGGAAAAGCATAATAGGTCCCCTTTAACATGCTATTTTTAAGTTGTTAGTCAGTAGGGGCTGCTTTTTTTTCTAGGAAAACACCTCTGGAACTATAGGTTAGTAATTCAGATCTTCATAATTTATGATAAACACATATTCTAGACTGTTATAATATAGATTAATTCAGGAAAATTTGTATCTGTTGCTGTTTCCTCAAAATGATATCAAAGGCTTAATCTCCCTTGTTTCTTTTCCACTTCACATCTGCTCCTGCTTTCATTAGCTGTTGATAGAAACTCCACACTTTCTCTATCTTCACCTGTTGTCATGATAAAGTCAGAGAAATGTTCATTCTACAGCACTAATTCAACAGACTCATGCCATATTCACCACTCTGCTGAACATATCAAGAAGTCAAAAACTTTTATAAAAATAACTTTTTGAGTTAGTTCATTGTTGAGTCTCATTCCCAGGTTCCCAAAGCGTCTGTACTTGACACCCTGGGAATGAAACTCAACAAACAATTCTTGCAAATGCTATTAGGAGCACTAGGAGGAGCCAGATGTCTCATTTACTACTGTCAGGATATAGTGACAGTTTCAGCAAATATGACAAGTTTTTTTAAGAAAATTATCTACTGCAGCTTTAAGTCCAACTGCTTCTGCTTTTGCTGTTTTTTTAGTTGCTATTAAACTAATGTCAGTGAAACTCAGCAGTTCCTGCACAGATGTTTCACATTCTGGCAACCTAAAGAACTTAGTCTGTCTTAACCTTAAACAATCAGCAAAAAATCAACCAACTATTATGATAATTTACCCTTCCTATAATAAAAAAATATTATATATTAAAAAGACAACCAAATTTTAAAGATGGTTAAAAGATAAAAGTAGTAGTCACATCTTATGTT